CCTGCACCCTTCCCTTGGCCCAGGCCACGGAGCTTACAGGAAGGTACCAGGCCCGTGGACAAAGGACGGGAATGGTCCACATCTAAGAGCAGGGAGGGGTGTTCCCCCTGCCCACCCGCTGGGCTTGCGCCCTCCCCACAACTCCTGATTCATTGGTCCTTTGTCAGGAAGTGGCTTCCACCAACCTGCCCCCCTACAGGGCTGTATAGCACATTTAGAAAGAAGGACTCAAAGGTGAAGAATAATAATACTTTACTTTGAGAGGAAGGATCCTGCAGGTAGGAGCCAGAGCTTGGACAGAAGCCAGGAGAAAGGAAGGGATTTGCCCCAGAACATCCAGGGGGGTCTCCGGCCAGGACCCTTCCCAGTCTCATCGGAAAGGACAGGGACCCTCCTTAACTCATTGGTCCCTCTCTCTCCCAGTTGGCTCTGAGCTCCAGCCCTCCTCTCCCCTCAAACCTGTCAGACCTGAAATAGCCCAGGAGGAAAAAAAAACAAACACCTCAGGTAAACAACAGGGAGTGTGAGTGAATCAGGATTTTGTTTTTGAGAAATATCATGTGTCCACTTCTGTTTACCCGGTTGGCAGGGCCCGTTGTGCGGAAGGGGGCCAGGCCCCCTGCCTGAACCTCCCCTCTCCATTGACCGTTGGGTGGTGGTGGATCGAGCCACGGCCCAGCCAGTTTCATCTGTCACCTGGCCTCCAGCTGCTAAACTCCCTTCTCGCTCCGCCCAGCGGCCAGCTCCACCACCACACCCAAGGCCAGGCCCCATGACCACCATCTGGTTGGCTGCCCAGTCCTCCAATGGCCTCGTGCCTCCAGCCTCCCGTTTGTTCCTCACTGGCAGCCAACTGGATTGTTCTAAAACACAAATATGATCGTGTCGTTCCCCTGCTTCCAACTTCCATGGTTCCCACTCTCCTCGAGGTAAAGTCAGACCCTAAAGGTGACATCAGGGCCCCTGCCAGCCTCTCCTCCGCCCCTCTTCCCCTCGTCCTTCCCCGACCTTTCACATCCTCATACTCGCCGTGCTCCCTCCTGCGTCAGGGCTCACCCATGTGCTGACTCCCTTTTCCATTTTGCCCCGCCAAGCACCAGATATCCTCGGACCTCAGCTAAAATCAGGCTTCATCAGAAAGGTCTTTCCTGCCCCCACCCACCCCAGCATCTCCCCCTCAATCGGCACATTTATCATTATTTCGTGGGGTTGTTTGTTTAGCTTAGACCTTCCTCTGTGATGACAAGGACTGTCCTCATTCAACATGACATTCCTAACACCAGGTGTAATGGGTGCTTGGGTGAGTGCCCGCAATGTGCAGAATGCTGTCCCGGGCACTGGAGGGGAATGTGACAGTGGGCATCCTCCTGGCCCCTGTGACTTGGCTGGCTCATGCCTGCAGCGCCACACCCACCTGACTCCCCATTTGAGAGCGTCTTCTACAGCGCCTCTGCCGTGCAGAGCTCCCTCTCGCATGCCTCCAGGAAGCAGGTGCTCACCGCCTCCTCCGGTCATGATGCCGAGTTGGACCCGACAGCACCACAGGCAGAAAAAGGAGTGTCCCAGTTCCAGCAAATAGGCAGGGAGTGAGAAATAATTACAAAAGGTTGATAAAAACAACCAACGCTTCCATTCATCACGGGCTAACGCTGCACCCAGCTCTGCCTCTTTCGCCTTCCCCACAGCCCCCTTTTGGAGGGCACTCATGTCATAGGAGGGAAAACTCAGGCTCAGTGAGGTTACGTGGTCCAGCCAAGGTCACACAGCAAGTCAGAGGCAAAGATAAGACCCCCCACTCGGCTCTGCTTGCTTCAGAGCTGCGTCACACCACGCCACACACCGCTGTCCTCCCGGCCTGTCCCCTGGGCTCTTCCGGCTCCCAGACGGGCTTCTCTCCTGCGCCCGCTATTCTCCCACCTGTGCCTGTTTTTTCTTAGCAATATTAGATGAACATCTTTCTTTTTTTAATTTTATTTATTTTTTAGAGAGGGGGAAGGGAAGGAGAGCGAGAGGGAGAGAAACATCCATTGGCTTCCTCGCACACGCCCCCAACTGGGGACCTGCCCCACAACCCAGGCACGTGCCCTGACTGGGAATGACCTGGCGACCTTTGCGTTTCTAGGCTTCGCTTTCAATCCACTGAGCCACACCAGCCAGGGCATGAACATCTTTCTATGCTCATGAATTTTTTATTCTATTAATTTTTAAGGGCCGCATTATATTCCATTATACGGCCCATTAAACTATTTCCCTATGGCTAGAGGCTTATTTTCTTAATTAGGTAAATTTCTAGAAGTGAAATTACCAGTGTAAACCTCCTTTCGGACACACAGCGACAAACTGCCCTGGGGAGGTGATCATAGCAGCCAGCCCTCCCCTGGCACTTGCCATGTGCCTGTCCCGTGTCTTGGTCAAGAAACCCTTGCCCTACTACTAATTAATGCTAATTGCCACTGTTAACTAGTCTTATTATTGCTTTGTTCAAATACTTGCATTTAAGTAATAAAAAAGTAAATAATGAAAATTACATATAATTTCAAGTACATGTTTGTTTTAATAGCACACACACGCAGACCCTTGTATCACGGTGACTGTGCACACGCCCGGCCGCCCACCTCACCCCACCCTCCAGAGCGAGAGCCCCTCAGAGCAGGGTCCCTGAGCCAGGCCTGGTTCCTGACTTCCTGGCAAGTCCGGGAGAGACTTCGCTGCTGAGCCATGGTAATAGTCACTCCCAGTTCCTCTAGGGTCAGCCAGGAGGGGATTCAGACTCACCAGCCCCCACCCATTTCTTCCATGTCAGGCTTGATTTCCTGCTGGGCTGAAGCTACCCCTCACCCGCCGGTGATTCAGGGCCCGGCCAGGGCGGCAGCGCTAACCACCCAGCTTGGCGAGTGACTAAGCTTGTGGTGAGGCTGGGCCGGGCCGTTGGGGTGGGGCTGCCTCCACACAGACTGGCCCCCCTTCCTCTGCCTCCCTTCAGTCTTGCTGATTTCTGTTCATCGGGCCTTCCAGACAGAATGAGAATAATCCTGAGTTCTGAACGCCAGAGTGTCCCAGGAGTGACGGAGACTTGGCGTCCACCCTCCTAGGGGACAGAGTCCGGAGGACAGAAGCTGCTGTTGCTCACTACTGGGGAAGAAGAGAGAGAAAGTCTAAGAGGAAGGAGAGTGGAGGAGGGAGAGAGAGAGAGAGGGAGGGAGAGAGCGAGCTGTAAAGAGTGCCCAGGGTGGCTGCTATGTGAACGAGGACTGATCAGCCACCCAGGACAGGAGGCATGCGAGGACTAGGCTGTCCCACCCCAAACAGCACATCCATGAGGACTGGCCAACTCAGTGACAACAGTCACTCAAGCCAGGGCCCCAGTTGGCTTTGCAAGTGCAGCACAGACTGGATTCAGTCCCTGACGCTGTCCCTCGGGCAGCTCTGCGGAGGGCTTGACCTGTGTGTGCTTCTGCAGGGAGCCCTGAGAGATGAGGCAGCCGCGGGGATGGTACTCCTCCCAGGATGCACTTGGAAATGTGTGTAGGGGGGTGTTTTTGATCATCACTACGGCTGGTGTCTGTGGGGGTGGGCAAAGACCGCGACTGGCATTTAGTGCCTGAAGGTCAGAGATGCTGAGCATTCTGCTGAGGTGGCCAGTCCACCTCTGCTCCCTGCTCCCTGCTCCCTGATCACACTGTGAAGAGGATCGTTCTGACTTCAGAAGCACCTGCCAAGGTGCCAACCAGTTTTAAGACATATTGTCTCCTTCTGATACATAAAAAGAGGCTTAACGTCACTGGCTACCATGGAAATGCAAACCTAAACTGCAACGAGAAACCATCTCACTCCTGTTAAAATGTTAGTATCCACGAGACAAGTAATAACAAGTGTTGGAGAGGTTGTAGGTAAAAAGGAGCCCCCGCTTGCTGCTGGTGGGCACATAAACTGGTGCAGCCACTGTGGAAAACAGTATAGAGGTTCCTCAAAAAATTAAGAGTAGACGGTGGTGAAGAACCCAACGTGCCATCTGAGTGCATGTGCTGAGACCCAGACACTGTATCTGGGTTGCCACCCGGTCCAGTGGGAAGAGGGCACCGAGCGTAACTGGACTCCCAGCTGGCCTGAGCCCGCCTTTCTGTGTTCGCTTTTCCTGCTCATCCTGTACCTGACTGCGTTTGAAAGCTTCGTGTCCCTTCCGGTTGCACCCGCAGTAGGAAAGATGGACTGAGGCTCAGCTCCTGTCTGGTGCTAATCAGAAAGCCTGAGTTGAAACATGCTTTAGTGAAAGCATCCCTGCTGTATTGTGTCAAGGGACTTGACTAATTCCAGCACTTTGGGCGGCTCTCAACTGCGTTTCCCACATCGGAGATACTGGGCTTTCCATTAGGTGTCAGATAAGATTAAACAGATGTTGAATTGGTCTCTATCTCAGAAAAGGGAATCCTTCATCTACGGTCAAGTTCTGCACACCTGAGTTAAATTCTCACTTTACCATTGAACTCTCTTCTGAACAGTCACTTGGCCTTGGCTGGTAATGCTCTTATAGCCTGCAGTTCCCCTCCCTTCCTAAGTGTCCTTAACTTGATACGTTCCAGACCCACCAATGACCTTGAGGCATCCTGGATTATCCAGTAGGTGAGCGAGTAGACTGTGGGTTTCCTCACTAGGTTTTATTTTCTGTTTTATTTACCCTTAAAATAAAAAGAAAAAAATAAGAATAGAGCTACCATATGACCCAGCAATCCACCTGGGTATCTACCAGAACAATGTGAAAACATTTATTCATAAAGATATATGCACCCCTCTGTTCACTGCAGCTTATCCACGGTGGCTAAGGCATGGAAACAAGCCAAGTGTCCATCAAGGCTGGTTGGATAGAGAGGATGTGGTACGTACATACAGCGTAACACTCCCCAGCCGTAAGAAAGGATGAAGTCTGCCATCTGTACACATGGATGGATCCTGAGAACATCATGCTAAGCAAAATATCAGACAGAAAAAGTCAAGAAGTAAAACTGAAAGAAACAAATAAACTAACAAGACAAAAAAACCCCTCGTATACAAACAACAGGACTGTGGTTACAGAGAGAAAGGGGTAGGAGGAGTCAGTCAGTAAAAGGTAAAGGGGTCAAATACACGGTGATGGAAGGAGACTTGACTTTGGGGGGTGAACACAATGCAATCTACACATGATGTATTATAGAACTACACACTTGAAACTGATATAATTTTATTCATCAATATGGCCCCAGGAAATTTGATTTTAAAAAGACACATTGTCTCACTAGGCTTGGACCTTCCCTGGCCAGGGACGCGGCGGTTGTTTTCACCCCACATCCAGTAATCATGATGGTAATGACATGGGCATGACTCCCTGTGCCGGGCGCGTGGCCGGGCTGTGGATGTGTTATCTCCACCATGGCCTGTCACTGGCACTATCTCCATTCTGCAGAGGAGGAAATGCAAGGTCGGAGAGGGGAGGGCAGTCACAAGGTGGGAAGTCGGGAAACCCATTTTCCAACCCGGGTCTACCCCACACCAAAGCCCCACTCACCACTGGTAGGACAGATGGGGAAATGGATGCACACACATCTTCACTGCTTTCCAAGCAGCCACTGGCGGAGCCAGGCAGAATCATGGCGTCTGAACCCATTCATCAGGAGTCTTCCGTCTCCACCACTAGACCAGAGACCCATGCCTGTGAATGGATGTGGGGCTGTTTAACAGGAATAAAGACCCTTGCCCTGCCTGGTGTGGCTCAGTGTACTGAGCACCAGCCTGTGAATAGAAAGGTCGCTGGTTCAATTCCCAGTTAGGGCACCTGCCTGGGTTGCGCCCCCAGTTGGGGGCGTGCCAGGGGCAGCTAATGAATGTTTCTCTCACACATGGATCTTTCTTTCCCTCTCTTTCTCCCTTCCTTTCCCTCTCTCTAAAAATAAATAAATAAGTACTTTAAAAAATAGTTAGGTGGACAGTTTCTTATCTTGTCTTTTATTCACTGAAGCCTAATTTATATACATCAAATGCACAATTCTCAATGAGTTATTACAAATCTTTTTGCAACTTTGTTGAAGTAGAATTAACACAGTGTAAGCTGTACACATTTATAGTGTAAAATTTGATGATTTGTGGCCTATCAGTACATCCGCAAACCACCAACGCAATGAAGATAAGAAACCAGCACCCCCCAAAGTTTCCCTGCTGTTACAAATAAAACGGTTGTGAACATGTGTGCATAGCTTGATGAATTCTAATCCACGTACACACGTGCGCAACCATCTCCCAGATCAAGACACGAAATATTTCCAGTACCCCAGGGTTCTCTCACGCCAGGCCCCATTCCCCAAAGACAACCACTGTTGTGACTGTTACCACCATAACTCAGTTTCGTTTGCCCTAGAACTTCACATAAAGGACATTAAACAACAACGCAATACATTTTCATTCGTGCCGGGCGTCGCTGGCTCAGCCTTATGTCCCCACATCGTTGCCTGTGTCAGTAGATCACTCCTGTTGTTGCTGGGCAGTATTCCACTGTAGACACACACCACCGACTGTTCTCCTATTGCTGCCCGTTTGGGGCTTTTATAAACAAAGATGCTACAGACGGCTTTAAAAAATATTTTATTTATTTATTTTTAGAGAGGGGGAAGGGAGGAAGAGAGAGGGAGAGGGAGAGAAACACGATGTGCAAAAGAAACATCTATCAGTTGCCTCTCGCGCCCCCAATCAGGACCCAGCCCACAACCCAGGCGTGTGCCCCGACCGGCAATCACACCTGCGATCTTTCAGTTTGCAGGGTGACACCCAACCCACTGAGCCACACCAGTCAGGGCTTAATTAATGCTTTTTGAAAATAATAATGCTGAGGTGCCAATCTTCATACCGGGCCCACTGCCTCCTGCCTCTCTGGGAGCAACTGGAAGGGAGCTGTGTGATGATTAAAAGCCCCGGTTTGGGCCCTGGCCAGTGTGGCTCAGTTGGTTGGAGTGTCATCCCATAAACCAAAAGGTTGCGGGTTCCATTCTCAGTCAGAGCACATGGGTTTGGTTGTGGGTTTTGTCCTGAGTCAGGGTGCACATGGGAGGCAACCGATCGATGTTTCGCTCCCTCTCTCTATCCCTCCCTTCCCCTCTCTCCAAAATCAATACGCATGTCCTCAGGTGAGAATAAAAAAAAAACGACTTGGGTTCAAACTCTCTGGGGTCCGATGCCCTGCCGCACCGCTCACTGCCCTCTGAACTGGGAGAGCCCCTTCAGCTCACCGCCCCTCCGCTCCCTCGTTTACTCTTTGTGATTACTCTTTTTGCTCTGTCGTCCTTAACCATTATTTCCTGGTCACAGAAGTCCCCTGGGCACTGGGAAGGAAGTGGCTGTGATCTGGAGCAGACCCCAAAGTATGCCTGGTTTCATGGCCATAACTGTCCTTCCAGCCATCCAGTCTGCCGATTACCAACACGGCCACGCTCAGTCCCCCTCCAATGCAGCAGAGCAGAGCCCGTCTGACCTTGTGAAAATCCTTGTTTTCAGACTGTCGCTCAGAATCGAGCCAGGAAGCAGCTCTCCAAGACTCGTCTCTTCCAAGGAAGACCTCGCAGGTATTGTAGCTGCACCGTACGCAGTGGGGGCGCACCCTCTAGAAGCCCACGTGCAGCTGCCGGGGTTGGTCCTGCCTGTGGGGCCAAAGGGTGCAGTTCAGTTTGCAGGTTGGCGGGCCCGGCTGTCCCTGCTCACAGCCCTCCCACACCAACCTGCCCAGGCTCTTGATCCCACGGAACTCCTGGGGGGCACCTCTGGGCTGGGGCTCCCTGGAGGAGCCTGGGACCTAAAAGCCCCAAGAAGCAAGATCAGAGCCCCAAGTTGGGAGCACGCACAGGGTAGGTAGAGAAAACCCAGGATCTTCTCCGGGTCACCCGGGCCCTTATCATCAGGCCCAGTGCCCTGGAGCTGACATGCCCTGGGGGTGCACAGGGTGCCGGGGTGTTTGGTGCCACCAGCCACAGACGGCTCGGCTCCCAGGAGCATCGGTCCTGTTCACATATTTGGAGGACACACACAGTGATTAAGGACTCAGCCCACACTCTAGGCATGTGCCCTGACCAGGAATCAAACTGGCTACCCTTCAGTCTGGTGGACAACACCCAACCCAACCCACCGAGCCACACCAGTCAGGGCGAGGCTACAACCATTTGTTACAAGTCTTTTGTGGACACAGATTTTCATTTCTCCTGGTGCCTGGGTCATAGCTAGGAGTGGAATTTCTGGTTCAGAGGGGAAGTATGGCTTATTACTGCAAACCATCTAACATTTTTCCAAAATGGATTTGCCATCTTTACACCCCCACCAACAATGCCCGAGAACTTGAGCTGCTCCACATTCTTGCCAAGTTTGTTATCATCAAGCCTTTTAATTTTAGACTTTCTGGTGAGGAGCAGTGGTATTTCACGTGGTTTTGTTTCGAGTTTCTCTCATGACTGACGACTCATCATGTTCGGCATTCCTTGACGTGCTCACTGGATTTTATTTTTCCTTTAAACTTTGTGTTGTTACAAAAGTAAAACACACGTAAAGGCAAGACATTCCACTACAGAAATACAGAAAGTACAATGAAAAATTTTTCTTTGTACTCCCAATTTCACTCCCTGGCATTAGCTAACAGTTTATTGTACAGCATGAACAGGCATCATTGAACACACACATACATTTACTTTTCTTTTACCCAGAAAAAAGTTCTCTTGTTTTTATTGGGCACAGGCTACGTGCAGATTTTAGGCTAAGAGACTGACACGCATCATATCACTGAATCTGTACAACTGGGATAAGTAGATAAGGAGACTGGGCCCTTGAACCCAGGTCTCTAACTTGGAAACCACAGGTGGGTTAACTGAGGTGCTATCCTCTTATAACCTCAGATTCACTCACTCACTCATCTGTTCTTTCCTTCATTCAACAAATATTCTTGGAGGATATGGACCCACGCTCGGCCCTGTCCCGCCTTTCAGAGCCACAGGTGAGCTGAGGAGTCAGACAGGTAGATGCGCTGACATCATTTAGGGAGAGAGGGCTACGATGGGAGAAGTAGGGGGCAAGCCTGAGCCACATGTTGGGTGAGGAAGGGGTCCTGGAGGAAGTGATCCCGGAGGGGTGTGAAGCATGCCCAGAGGAGAGAGGGTCAGGCTGCAGGTGCAGCGCGTGTGAGAGGGGACATTCACAGGCATTTGTGTCCCTTCCAGGAGGCAGGACTGCGGTGAAGCGGGGAGCAGGTGAGGAGGACAGCGTTGGCAGCTAGACCTGTGACCACCTTAAGGAGCCCGGCTCCATCCTGAGCATAAAGGAAGGACTGGAGTCACGATTTTCAGGTTCCAAGGTGTTAGGATGTAATTTCCTTCCCTCCCCATCCTACACGATCTACTTGCATGGAGCACAGTGTCTGCAGGTGGCTCAGAGGCCACTCAGAACCAGGCTGCACAGCTGCTCCAAGGGGCAGGTGCCTTGGAGCAGGATTCAGGCTGCCTGGTCCTCCAGGAAGGAACCCATTGCCCCCTAGTGGTGACCAGATGGAAATCCAACTCCTGCAGGACTTGGGGCAGGACTGGGGGCCAGGGTAGGGGGTCCACAGGTCCTGCTCCTGCCCAAGGCCTCCCAGCTCAGTCACCAGCACTACCACCTACCCGGTTGTTCCACCAGGGCTCCCCCGGGAGCGCCCTCTTCTCTCATTTCACTCTACCTCTGCCACTCACCCTGTGGATGCGCCAGGCTGCGCCAGGCTGCTCCTCCCTCCCTGCTTTCCCCAGTCTTTGTCACAGCCTCTCAGACGGTTTCTCTGCTGTCTGTCTAGGCCACTACAAAGAAGATGGGGAAATCTTTTATTATTATTATTATTATTATTATTATTTATCTAAGATACATACAGTGAATTGCACAAATAAATTGCACATTTGCACAAATCTTAAGTGCACAGCTTGATACATTTTTGGTATTTTATGTATTTATATTTAGAGAGAGGGGAAGGGAAGGAGAAAGAGTGGGAGAGAAACATCAATGTGTGGTTGCTTCTCATGGGTCCCCTACTGGTAAACTGGCCTACAACCCAGGCATGTGCCCTGACTGGGAATCAAACCGGTGACCCTTTACTTCACAGGCCCGTACTCAATCCACTGAGCTACACAAGCCAGGGCAGATAACCAGTATTCTAATGTCTATCATCATAGGTCAGTTTGGCCTGTTGTTAAAGTGAAACAAACAAAGTTACCATATAACGTGCAGTCTTTTGTTTCTGGCTCATTACACGAGGCATCATATGTTTGAGACTTACCCATAGTGTCATATTACACATTGTTCTTTTTGTTGTCAGGCAGTATTCAATGTGTAAGTGAGCTACCGTCCATTTATCAGTTCTACTCGGGAGGGGCATGTAGGTTGCTTCCAGTTTGGGGCTATTAAGAATACTCTGCACCCTGGCTGGTGTGGTTCAGTGGACCGAGCACCAGCCTGTGAACCAAAAAGTTGCCAGTTTGATTCCCAGTCCAGGCATATGCCTGAGTTGTGGGCCAGGTTCCCAGTTGGGGGCATGCAAGAGGCCACCACACCTTGATGTTTCTCTTCCTCTCTTTCTCCCTCCCTTCCCTTCTTTCTAAAATGTAAATAAATAAAATATTTTTAAAAATGCACTGCTATGCACCTTCTGGTACAAGTCTTTTGGCTGACATAAGTCACTCCTCTGAGGCACACGCCCAGAAGTGGAGCCGCCGGGTCACGGGCAGGCGGCCCACTGGGTCCAGCGGTACCACCCACAAGTCAGTGTACAACCCGCGGCCCACCAGTCATGTGTAGACTACAATGATCTTTGAAGCTTTTTATTTGGAAATAACTTCCAACATATAGAAAAGTTGCAAGAATGAAAATAGTACACAGAGCATATTTGTATACCCTTCACTCAAACTATTACTATTTTATATCAGGGGAACCCAGCTATATACTGATGTATCTCTCTACACTCACTTGTCCCCACACACACCCAGCATGGGATTTTATGTACACACACACATACATAACAGTCGCAAGTTACACATATGGATGTGGGTAATTTCTCCGGAATCATCTGAGTGTAGACTTTATACATCAGGCTTCTTTATCCCTAAACACTCTAGTGTGTATTCATCAAACATGGGGGTCGTCTCGTACTTAGCCACAGCGCAGCTTTCAACTTCAGTCGAGTTAGTACTGATTCCATACTCTTTCTTTCCTCTGCCGTTCCCATTCCTGTGCTATTCACTGACCCAGAAGCACCTCACCGGCCTTCCTTCTCCAGCGCAGGGCATGGTCTAAGATCAGGTGCAGTACTTCACAGTCGTGTCTCGGCAGGCTCTGTCAGTTGGGGACATTTGCATTGTCCTCCTTGGCTTTCATGACCACAGCAGTCTCTCACCTGGGAGCAATATTTGCCCTTCCTGGGGACTCTGACAATGTCTGGAGACACCATGTGTTATCACAACCGGGAGTGTACTACTGACACCTAGTGGGTGGAGGCCAGGAACGCTGCTGAACATCCTGCAGTGCCCTGATGCCAATAGCACCGAGGCTGAGAAATCCTAGATGACAGTGGTCTTTGAAATCGTGACTCACATCCCACCACCTTCCTGCATAAATCCCTCCAATGGGAGCCCTGGCTGGTGTAGCTCGGTGGATTGAGCACAGCCTGCGAACTAGAGTATCGCGGTTGATTCCCAGTCAGGGCACATGCCTGGGTTGCAGGCCAATTCCCAGCAGGGGACACACGAGAGGCAACCATACATTGATATTTCTCTCCCTCTCTCCTTCCCTTCCCCTCTAAAGATAAATAAACAAAATCTTTTTTAAAAAATCCCTCCAATGGCTCTTCATTGTTCCCAAAATAAAAGCCAAGCTCCTTATCATGGCCTACTAAGCCCTCCGTGACCTGGCCCCGGACCTCATCACCTCCCTCCCTATCCCTCCTTCACTGTTTTTCAGCCATGACAATCTCCTCTGCACACATGCCCATCTTAATCCTACCCCAGGGCCTTTGCACTTTCTGTTCCCTCTGTCTGAAACACCTTTCTCCCAGGTATCCACTTGGTGATTCCCTCAGCGTTCTGGTCCCCTCTCAAATGGGTAAGTCCCCTCTTCAGAGAGGCTCCTGACAACCCGGATTTTCTGTCGTTACCTTTATAAGTGTGTTTTATTTATTTTTTATTTTTTAAATATTTTTTTATTTATCTTTAGAGGGGAAGGGAAGGAGAGAAGAAGAGAAGGAGAGAAATATCAATGCATGGTTGCCTCTCGTGGGTCCCCTACCGGGGACCGGCCCGCACCCCAGGCATGCACCCCGACCGGAAATTGAACCTCGGTCCCTGGGCTCGAAGACCCACGCCCAGTCCACTGAGCCACACCAGCCGAGGCTGTAAGTGTGTTTTAATAACACCTTTGTTATCCAAACTTCCCTTGTTTGTTTAATTACATGTTTATTAATTATCTTCCTTACTGGAGTGAATGCTGCGCGATGGGGGAGAAATCGTTGACCATGTCCTCCACTACTGTAACCCATGCACCTAAAACAAGTCCTGTCACAGAGCAGACATGCAAAAATATTTGTGGAATAAACAAATGTGGCCTAATGATGACAAGATTCAGCATTGATAGGTGTGACTTTCTTCAGTCGTCCTGAGTCTGGGTTCATCTGACACCAGCTGCCTCTACCATGCCACCCAAGTTCAACCCTGAGATCAAAGTCATGTACCTGAGGTGTCCCAATGGGGAAGTCAGTGCCACGTCTGCCCGGGCCTTCAAGATCAGTCTCCTGGGTCTGTCACCAAACAAGATTGGTGATGACATTGCCAAAGCAACCAGTGATTGGAAGGGTCTGTGGACGACAGTGAAACTGACCATTCAGAACAGACAGGCCCAGGCGGAGGTAGTGCCTCCCGCCTCTGCCCTGGTCATCAAAGCCCTCGGAGAACCCCCACGAGACAGAAAGAAGCAGAAAATTAAATAAGTAAAAATAAAAATAAGAGAAAGAAAGAAGCCCTGGCTGGTGTAGCTCAGTGGACTGAGCATGGGCCCGCGAACCAAAAGATCGCGGTTCGATTCCCAGTCAGGGCACATGCCTGGGTTGCAGGCCAGTTCCCAGCAGAGGCCAGTTCCCAGCAGGGGACACACGAGAGGCAACCACACATTGATATTTCCCTCCCCTCTCTCCTTCCCTTCCCTTCTAAAGATAAATAAATAAAATATTTAAAAAAGAAAGAAAACACTCAAAACCATTAGGCACAGTGAAAATATCAGTTTTAATGAGACTGTCGACATTGCCCAGCAGATGCGTCAGCGATCTTTTGAACTGTCTAGAACCACTGAAGAGCTCCTGGGGACAGCCCAGCCTGCGGGCTGCAGTGTCGATGGCCACCACCCTCATGACATCACAGAAGACACCAACAGCGGTGCAGTGGAGTGCCCGGCTAATTAAGAACTACAAAGGAAAATAGTTCAATGACAGATGATTTGACTACCAAACTACCTAACTAAATAAATACAAGAATGGGCGTGGAGTCAGGCAGACCTCAGGGGAATCGCTGCTTGGTGGCTTATCAGCTGTGGGACTCTGAGTGACTCTGCGTCTCTGAGCCTCAGGTGCCTCATTTGTACATGAAGGTAAAAGCGGTGCCTCCATCACGAGGGTGAATGCTTGCTGGGTATCGCTGGGCACATGGTGAGTGCTTGCTGAACTTGCAGTTCCGGCGTAGAAGAGGGAGCAGGTATGGGTGGAGGCTGGGACAGGACCCACCCAAACTCTTCCTCCCATAGCCCCAGATGCGATCCTTCTCTTGGCCATGTAAAGCTCTTGTAACACTTTTTCCTTTTACATTTTCATTTGCATCTTTACTCAATGACTCCCCGAGGCCAGAGACACTTCCTGTCTGCTTAATGCAGCAGGCGGCATAGAGGAGGTGGGAAGGTAAGAGGGAAGGGAGGGAAGGAAGGAAGGAAGGGAGGGAGGGAGGGAGGGAGGGAGGGAGGGTCCTGCCTGCGTTTTTACAGAAGAGGGGAGCATCTCTGATGAGATACCAGCACTAGGCTGGGGGAGGGATGAGAATGGAAGGAAATGAGGTTCTAGACTAGGGTGCAAAATTTAAGGATGGGGTTGCCAAAAACCTTAGAAATCAAGATAAATAATTATTTGACATAAAATATTTTTAAATTTTTATTTATTGGTTTGAGAGAGACAGAGAGACAGACAGGTGTAGATTTGTTGTTCCACTTATTGACGCACTCACTGGTTGCTTCTTGTGTGTGACCTGACCAGGGGTGGAACCCACAACCTTGGCACATCTGGACGATGCTCTAGCCAACTGGATTACCTGGCCAGGGCCGATTAAATATTTTTCTTAAATTAAAATTAGTGCAAAAAATCCTATGATGAACCAATTTTTTTTAACGAAACAAGGATTCATCACAGTACTGTACCAGAGTCTTATTGGAACCTGGGGCAAAAGGAAAAAACCAAAAAAGATGCCATTACCCTACTCATGGCCCTCAGGGTCCTGCAGTTCCTCCTGCCTACCTGCAGGGGGTGGTGTCAGCCCGGTTCTGGAAAGTTTTCCCCGGCTCAGCTTCTTCTGCTTTCCAGATCCGTGGAATTACTTAAAATAGATGCTGACCTGGCTGGGTGGGCATTCTGTGACCTTGGGTAAGTCCTTTCTCCTCTGTGGGCCTTGGTCTTCCTATCTGTAAGGGGCTGGGAGCTCACCTTTCATTTCTAGCTCAAAATCTCAGCCCCGAGTCCTCACTCGCCCTCACTCTTTATGCCATTCCATTTGGAACATAATTATTTTCACGTTAGCACCCAATCGCTGTTCCTCCTACGCCATCATCTGATTGACTGAACACCCAATTACAAGAAACCTGTGAGTTCCCGAAGGGCAGGAGCTCCATTGTACAAACCCGTAGGCTTCCCGGTGTGTAGAGCATGACACCGGCGCTCACTCACACTTACGTATTTTTTTCTGGTCAAAAGGTCATTCATTGTTTTTTCTTCTTTACTCTGTTTATGTAGTGAATTAAGTGGACTGTGTTCCTAGTGACAAAATCTTCTTCTTGGGGGTGAAAAGGGTGCCCGAAAGTGAGAATGGTCTGTGGTTTTTCTTTTTTTAAAAATGTGTTTTGGGATTAAAGTAACGTTGTAAAAAGGATTGGGAACATTCCATACTTTTCTATAATCTAGAATAGTTTGTATAAAAGGAATAATCTGATCTTAGATAAAACTCAGTTGTAAAACCATCTAGGCCTAGTGCCTTTTTTCACCTGCAGCTTTCTATTAAATACTTCAAATCTACAGAAAGGTTGATCACTGTTTATCTATATTCACCTGTTGTTAATATTTTGTCATACTTGTGTACTCTCTCTCTCTCTCTCTCTCTCTCACACACACACACACACACACACACACACTCATACTCTACTTTGTACTGTGTCAACTTAGCAGGAACCAAGTTTCCTAGAATTCTCTTCCCTGTGTGGTTCCAAGGAAGGTTGGCCACAAGTTAAATTCACTCAGGATCTGGAAGGAGCAGCCACTTTTTGTGCTTTGTCCTTTGGTGGAAGGTCTCGGGCTCTCCTGTAGCTGCTGACTTGCCTTGTTATCGGTGGGCAACACCTGGGCATGTGTCTTCTCTGGGTCCTGCTGGGTCTCCTCCTCCGGCTTCTCTGAGTCCTGAGCCAGGTATGTGTGCATCTCTGCAGCAAAGTACACCAGCTTTCCTGCAGGTCGCCTGTGTCACTGTGGTTGGAGAGGGTGAGAGACAGACGTGTCCTTGTTCTGCCCCAACACACCCACTTCTCCTTTCCCACCAGCGGCAGGTGTAGAGGCCTTGCACAGTCTGTGCCACCGGCACCCACGATGGCAAAAGGGCAGTTCCTGTTACCAGTCCCTTATTTTATTTCACTGTAGTGGCCCTGCTTCTCTGAGTCAAATGCACATGCACACACATACAACATGAAAAAAATGATTGATTTTTGAGAGACACTGATTTGTTGTTCTAGGCATTCATTGGTTGATTTTTCTATGTGCCCAGATCAGGGATTGAACCCACAGCCTTGGTGTTTCAGGATGATGCTCTAACCAATTGAACTACCCGGCCAGGACCTCATCATTTTGCTTTCCCTTTCTGCTTTCTTTTCTCAGACCTACCTTCAGTTAAGCTTTTTTCATAGTATGTTTTCAAACAAAATTTTAAAAAAGATTTTATTTATTTATCTTTAGAGGGGAAGGGGGGAAGGAAAGAGGGAGAGAAACATCAATGTATGGTTGCCTTTCATGCGTCCCCTGCTGGGAACTGGCCTGCAACCCAGGCATGTGCCCTGACTGGGAATTGAACTGTGATCATGTGGTTCACAAGCTCAAACAAATTTTATGTATCCTTTTAGTAGTTTTTCCGTTTCATTAATGTCAACTTTCATCTTATGTTTTCTTCTTTCTTTTATCATATTGCTGGTTTTCTGATTTCTTGGGTTGAATACTTAATTCACTTATTTTTAGTCTTTTATTAATAATAGAAATATTTAAGGCTGCCTACTTTATCTTGTGTAATGAAGAATGAAGAAAACACACAAATCTCCACCCCATTATAGTCCAGTCACGACATCCAGGATTTCCCTGCTGTGGTCAAAGGGGAGGCAACGCAGGAATCAGGAACAACGGCATAGCAATGGTAGAGGATTTGATCTTGCTTCTCAAGGAAGGAGACAGGCGCTCTTTTAGCATGAGGTCCATTCAAAGACTGGGCCAGCAAGGGGGGTGGCCAGGTGATGAGATAGGGAAAGTGTCTTTCTCACAGAGAGTGTGCTATTGTAGCAGGAGATTCATTTTCAGAGTAAAAGAGGTGATTTCTAAAGCAATCAAAAGAAAACCCCGAGGGGGAAAAAGCAAGCTATGACCCAAGCGGATGATGGAATGCGAAGTTCTGTCTCCTCTCTTCCTCCATGAGGCCCCATCAGTGGGAAGTTTGGGGGCCTGGGAGGCGCTGGTGACTTTCAGCAGAACACGGCAAGAACTACTTAGCGATGTGCATGGATAGATATCGGGTGGCTGTACTTTTGCCACAGAAGGCAGCAGGCATGTTTAGGTCCCAGAGTGGGATGTCGCAAACAGATGGCTTCGGGTTGTTGGGGATCCATGAAGTAAAATAACTGCTATTTTTGTTTGTGTACTAGGCCAAGTACACGAGCCAAGCACGAACAATGGCCAACCACTCCTCCAGGGTGTGGCTGTGACATGTTGGGGGTGGGGGTGCTTATCAACAGCTGGAGGAAAGGTCACAGCCTGAAAGCAAGGGAGGGAAGGCTTGAGGGTTAAGAGGACCATCGTCCCTTCCATCCCTGCCATCAGCAGACAGGAGCAGTTCCAGCGTAGGGGGGCAGGGAGGTTCCCAAAGGCCTGGGCAGTGAGTCCCAAGCTAGTTACAATCAGACCCCACCCACAGCCCGCTTCCTCTGCTTGCCCAATGACATGGCACCCGAGATACCTCCAGGGTGGGCAGGTGAGGAGGGGAGTCAGGTCCCCAAGATGGACCCCCTTGTCTACCTGCTTCCCAACTCAGGAGAGAGTTAGACACCACTGTGGTTCAAGACAAGGAGCCCATGACCCAGGTTATGCATTAAATGGGAGACAGGGAAACTGATGTTCACGAAGGAGCAGCGACAGGCTGGAGCCACCAAACAAGGCAGCCCTTGGGCCCGAGCTGGGGCCCCTGGCTCCCTCAATGCTGAGCCATTCTCGGTCTGCCATAGGGAAGGCTCTGGGCCCTGACTCCCTGCAGGGTGGGGTGAGGAGGCTGCTGTCAGGCCGGCGAGTGGGGGAAAAGCGGAGGTGGGAAGACAGTAGACAAAAGAAGAGGGAGGGAGGAGGGCAAGGAGAGGAGGCAGGAAGCTGGAGGGGCCAGAAAGACAACCTGTGTTTAATTTGAGCTGAGATGGGCGGGCATCCCTTCCTTTCCCAGGCTACTGAGAGCTTCCTGGGGTCTGCTTGACACTACAGGGGCAGTGGGGACATGTGTGATGAGGAACCGAAAACACCCTGTCGCGAGCTGGGGTGAGGGTTAAGGTATTAATAAGTATCACTCCAGCTTGGATCTAATGATGGAGCAAACAACCTCCCAGCCACTTCTGAGTCAGAGCAGATTCAGATATCATGGGGCCTGAAGCTTCAACAACATGGGCACTCTCTTTAAGAAAAAGAAAATAATTACAAAAATAAAATTAGGTACAGGGCCTTGGAAGGAGCCATGCCTCACAGTACGCCTATCTCCCTCATGCTCTATAACCCCACTCCCGAGGGGGGTGGGGATTTTTGCATAAAGATGCACCACGAACCACCACCCAGGTCAGGACAGGATGTTTCCAGAGTCCCAGGGTGCTTCCTTGTCTCTCCTCCCAGGCGACACTCCCTGCCCCCCACCTTCATGAGATAAT